GACTACGTACCGGACACGATTGCCTGGCAAAACATCTTCAAAGATCGGGAATATAGTGTACCCCCCCCCCACCCTTGGGGGAAGCTGAAGTCAAAGTTTAAGGGCTAATGATAAATATCACAATGCCTGCCATTTGAAATAATAATAATATTTCCACAAAAGAAATCATTCGAAGAGAGAAGTTTATATTCTCTCATACGGGGTGTGCGATAGACTTACCTTCACGTGGTACACCCTGGGCAACGTATACTCATACGGCAAAAAAGTCTATTAACCGGCAGTTGACTTCTCACTTCAAGCTACCATCACCCCACTGTATGCCATATTCTACCACTTCCACAGTAATCATTTTACCTTTTCTCTGCGTCTGTGTCTGTCTCTTTTACAACTGTAAACCACTCTTCTGTTCCCCACCCATCGACTTTCTGTTACTTTGACGTCCCTTCCCTCTGTGAACCCCGAAGTCAGCTAAAGGGCTAATCACAACTATCAAAACGCCTGCCATTTGGAATAAATAATATTCTCTCATACTAAATTGTTTCCACTTAGCCCACGCAGTGGAGAACCCACGTACCCAGGAGGGTTTTAAGGGCAAACGTCACAAAAATGCACAGCCTAGGCCAACCAGAGAGGGGAATTTTAAGGCTAAAATTCGACCAATCAGAAAAAACTCAGTAAGACCCACATTGGAACTTGCATCCAAACCCCGAGCTTATCTATTCAAATGGCTGCTTCGTGTAAATCGGGTGGCGAGGACTCGCGTTATCTATGATAAAAACTAAATGAAATTTAAAGCAGCACATCACAATGCTAATATATGAACTTTGCACACGCAAAATCAAACTTCAGTTACGTAATGATCGAGCTACAACTAGCGCATCTAAGAAACCCAGAAATCACTACAATCATGCAATTCCAGAATAAGTTACCGAGTACTGTTCGCTTTGGAAAAGAAACCGCAGTATGGCACTCATAGGGCGAGTTAGACACCGATATGCCGAGGCCGTCATGTGCGGTTCATTGACCGCCTTAAGTGTACGATCCAAGTTGAGACATCGTAGACCCTGAATTGAGGCCTTCGGTAGACCGGCGTCCGCAGAAGTCAACGCGGATTCCTCTTCTACGTCAGTGTCAAATTCTTCCTCCGCTTCCTCCCCATTAATCTCACAAGCATTGAGGCACATATCCGCAGCAAGCTTCTTAATCTGTGAAGGATAAAGTGCCTCACCCGGAGAGAGGGCATTCTCAGTTAGCAGCGGCTGATAGCAAGCGATGAACTCCGTGAAACTAAGGACACGGGAGAACTGGAGGGAAGTCATGTTAGAGGGCAGAGAAAAGACTCGTGGTTGGGGTAGGGGTTTAACATCGATCTCAAGGGATGGAGCATTCTCATCTATGAGTGTGCGACTTTGCTTACGTAGTTCCTTTAAGTAGGCCTTCTGTTGCTCTAGGGTCATGTTTTGCCTGAAAGAAGAAATAGGCTTAAAATCATTTCATATCAAAGTGAAAGTATGGTGGTAAGTACACATTTGCATATTCATGAATAAAATGGCAAACTAGTTAAACCTATCTAGTGTGCTCGGGTAACCATAATCATAAACCTGAAAACATTATTTTCCCTAGAAGAATAGAGGAAATCTAGCTATCTACGAAAAATAATAAACAAAAAAAGAATTTTAGAGCTATCAAGACGCTCTCATTCCGACTAAAATTTAGGCAGTGGTTGCAATTATACATATTCAAAGGGCCCTTACATTTTCTTGCGATGCTCAAGAGTAATCTTCTTTTCAACAACAAGCTTTCTGGCATCTTCAGGAAGAGCTCTAATTTGAGGATCCGTGAGGACTTCAGCACATCGATTAACCAACTTTTTTTGCAGATTAGCATCCGCCTTGCCCTTGAGGAGTCGAACAAGACGCTTGGCAATGAAAGGGAGAGGTGGTTCAGACTTCATAGGCGCACTTGACTTATTTTTCCTTGAAGTCGGCGAATCCTCGGACTTGTCGAATGGAAGCATTGCCTAAAATAATGCGAACTCATAAGACTAAAACAGACCCGAATAGAGCAAATAAAGGGTACATCACAAAAAACATACTTGCTTCATCTTCTTCGAGGACTTTGATTCGGGGGTGTCCTTCAGCTGTTTTCTCTCCGGCGTTTTCGTTTTGGAGGGAGAATCCACTGATAAAATGGAATCATCACGTAGAACAGAGAGGTTTTTTAAGAGCTTTAGACTCTTTGGAGACAATTTGATGGCCGTTTCACCATTAACATCGCCTTCCTGGCTAACAATTTTTTCATAGAATTTAATCTCGTAAGTCTCTGAGAGAATACGCAGTTTGTCCTTGTCAACCGTTTTGTTAAACAATTTCAAATTTGGACAGTACTTCCTAAGAGAACCGGTATCTACAATCCAAGGACCACTTGATGCAGGCCCATAACGCATTGCGTGGGCTCGAATAAACATTCGAATGTGGTCTTTTGAGGGAGCTCGATTGATGCGCCTAATTGGGAGAAACAAATTACCAAGAAAAAGATGGCGGCGCTTACTGCATGCATTTAGAAGGGACATTATTGACCTTAACCGGTTCATCCGAATCAATTTGAACACTATATGAGAAAATATCCTTCAGCATTGGAAGTCGTTTAGAATTGGCATTATTATTATTATTCTCTTTATCAGAATTATTTGGAGAACTGGTCTCATCTTTGGTGAGGTCAATTTGTTCAACAAGTTTAGTGGGGTCCACACTCACTACCTTAGCTGAAATTCTGCAAGAAATTGAGCGATTAAAAAATGGGCACGTACGGTTTATTTGAGTCAATTTTTAATAAAACAGGTTCACCAACTGCGAACCGTTCATGGACTCTCGTCCAACACTCAGTTGTTAGAGGTTCAAGAGAGGACGAACCTAAAGCGAAAACAAAATAAGGCAATCAAACCACCTACTTGTGTGAACGATTTGGAGAATCATGCCCCGATGATAATCAGACACAGACTGTTTAAGAATATGTAAGGTATCACGTTCTGATTTGAGAGCCTCTTTGTAAGTCAAATTTGCTTTGCCAGTAACTCGGCAGGTCCAAATTTTAGATTCATATATTTTGGTCTTACGATTAAGTTCGTCCACAGAAGCACATATTTCCTTCGTTTCGGGGACTATAAATTGGTAGGTCGGGGCTTCCTCACCAACTTTTTTGGACTTTCGAACAGTAGAGTTCAATACATGAGGACGATTTCCCAGAAGCGGCATCAGATATGCAGATAAAATAAATCTTCAAAGTGAAAAAATCGCAAATTTAAAACTACACGGACTGTTTAAAAATAGCTGAAAAACCAGGCATATATGCGCAGATTTTAGGCTCAATAACATGAAAATTGTCAAATATATTAATTGAAACATTAAACCATAGATAAATATTGCCTATGAAAGGATAAAAAAGAAAATGAAAAATGATCATCTTAGTTGGCAGTTAAAAACTTCAGAGATAAATAATGTCAATCAAATAAAAGGATAAATTAAATTATGAGATAAGAATTATCACTGAAAGATAGAAATTGGATAACTGTGTGCATTTAATCATAATACATGCAACTTAAATATTGGACAGAACTATGCCGCCAAATGAAAACTCGATTTGGGCGCTTATGCAATTAAATATTTTAACCATATTTTAGATTTATATATCTTGTGACATTTTTTATTTGTTTTAATTTTAAAAATATAAATTTTAATGATTGTTTAAAGCCCTCTTATAGCTTGTATTTATTGTTATAATTCACAAATATTTAAGTATATTCCTTTATCAAGGGTTTTGTCCATTCGCTTGCAATATCGCTCAGATATCATTCAGTTTAACCTATTCTTTAAAAATTTCCTAAATTTTGCGTTTGAATTTAGGTGCTATATCTTGAAACTGTCACAAAAGTATATTAATTAGTAAGTCCATGGTCAGAATGTTTAGTACTAAAATTGCGATTGCGTTTTTACCAGCTTTAAAATGGATAATAGTATCAGGTATACATTCATATAATAAATATATTATTTAATTTTCTCTCTGGGTATGACAATGTTAGAAATAATATTTATCCTACATAAACACGATATCAAATATTTCATCATAAGTTATGACTTTTTATTCTTTAATGAAAAATAGAAATCTAAAAAGATTAATAGGATATTTGTACAACACAGCAATTGTAAGCTGACCATATCGTTACTCTTAACTAACAATAATGTCCTGATGAATATTTGTACATTTTTAGCTTATTTTATTCGTTAAGTAATCAACAATTAATTCTGCTTCTTAACAATCTACTTATATGAACCCTTTATTTTTATTCATGCGTAATTCTAACTGCGATGTCATGAGTAAAGAAATTCGTTTTCTAGCCAGTACCTTTAAATTAATAAATTTCATTTTATCCGAAACTCTTTCAATCGCTTTTTCTCTAACTTTAATTCAAAGGGTCTTTGACTTTCCTTTGGAGGAAAAAATTTATATACATTATGTATTTGCAAAGATTGAGACGGGATGAACTCATAAAATTACGAAAATGAGCCACTTATTTCAACATGATGGATTAATTGCTTGCAGTGTTATTGGCTTATGAATTCCTTTTTTTAATGAGCCGCAGTTATTAACATTAATCTTTGAAGACAAAACAATGTAAAAATTGAAAAAAATTTGGTTCTCACTTACGCGTTTGTGATTTAATATTTCATAACTCGCCTTTCCTTTTCACTCCCTTGTGTCTGTCTGACCTTTTCTCATCTAAGAGGTTGGCAACTAAGTCATTGCCGATTTCAAATAAGAAGGCAAATTCGGAATTTTTGTTTAAAAATATAACTTTATTCAATTAGATATTGGCCGTTCTTGTCGATGACCTTTTTCCATCGTTCTGGCAGAGTAAAAATTCCCCGTTCGTAAATTGTCTGGTCTTTGCTATTAACAAACTGAATTAGGTGTGATCCCACATCATCCGCGTTGTTAAAAATTTTACCATTTAAAGAGTTTTGCATGGAACGAAACAAATGGTAATCCGAAGGCGCAAGGTGAGGGCTATATGGTGGGTGTGACAAAACATCCCAACCCAGTTCCAATCATTTTTGCCGAGTAACCAAAGATGTGTGGGGGGGGGCCTTGCGTTATCATGATGGAAAACATCACCCTTCCGCCGATTTGATAATGCCGGCCGCTTATCTTCAATTGCATCCTTCAGTTTTTCGAGTTCTTCAATATACGCATTTGAATTTATCGTTTGGTTATGCGGCATGAGTTCAAAATACAAAATTCCTTTGTGATCCCACCAGACTACTGAGAGCATAATCTTTTTTGGTGAATCTCTGCTTTTCATACTGTTTGGGCTGGTTGATCTTGCTTCACCCATGATCTCGTGCGAGTAACATTGTTATAAACTATCCACTTTTCGTCGCCAGTAACTAGGTTCTTCCTCGGAAATGGATCATTCTCATTCTCATTGCGTTTCAGTAGCGGCGAATCACAGATGCTAATCCGTTGCGACAAATGAATTTCCTTTAACTGGTGAGGGATCCATAAATCAAGTTTTTTGACATAACTAAGGGTTTTTTCTAATTTTTTTCAACGCATGTATGCGACACATTGAGCTTCTCTGAAATATCTCGTGTTGTGCTGTGACGATTTGAATCGATAATGGCCTTGATATGGGTTTCATCCACTTCGACTGGGCGGCCAGATCGTTGTGAATTTTTCAGTGAAAAATCACCGGAACGAAATCTTTCAAACCAATTTCGACACTGCCTTTCTTTTAAGGCTTCATCTCCATATACGGCACATAACTTCTTTTGTGCTTGCGATGCGTTCTTGCCTTTTCGGAAGTAATACAATAAAATGTGTCGGAAGTGCACGTCCTGTTTTTTCATTTTTAAATTGGGATAAAAAAAAAACTAAAGAACTAAACAAAAGAAATTTTTTACTAATTAACCTAGAAGCCAATACAGTAAGACAAAATATAGGTTAGATGCTCTGGCCACGTTAACAAAACAAAAGAAAGTATAGAGTGAATCTGTCAACAAAAACGGCAATGACTTAGTTGTCAACCCAATACTTATCATTATTATGTTCCTACCCTCGTCTTTTTCTCATTTTAATGTCCCCCCCCCCCATCTCTGGGAAGTCCGATGTCAGCTAAAGGTATAATGATATCTATCAAAACGCCTGCTCTTTGAGATAAATATTTAGTTCTGAATAATTGATGTCCTTTCCTTTGTTAAATCATAATGTAGAATTCCAATATAAGAACAGCTTTAAAATCGATGTACAATAAATTGCATCATGATATGCACAATTATCATACAAAATAATATTTCGCCGCATGACTTCATTTTAAATTACCTTATAAAATATGCAAATCTGAAATTCAGTTTGTTTTTAAGCTTACTTAAATAGTGATAGGCAATGAGGATAAATGTGCATATTATTTTTGATTTTGAATTAAATTGGTGTTTTCGCTGAAGTATAATTATCATCTTGCAATTAGATTTGAGGTGGAATATTAGAGAAAAACGAAGAAAAGTATTTAATTTTAAGACATAACTATATTTAAGAACTCATGGAGTGTTTATTGCTGCATGCAATTCAAATCAGCATTATTTGTGTAACTAAATATCTACAAGCACACTATTGTTCAAATTAACAATTACTGGCACCCTATTTGTTTGAACCGAATTACACAAATTCCTTTAGAATGTGTTCACTGCAAAAGCACAATAAGAAAAAGTATTGAAATAGTTATTATTTACATCAGTTTAAATCAATGACTTTGATAGCATAACCACGTGGTGCACCCTGAACAGAATTTACGCATGCACAAAAAGTCAATTACTCGGCATTTGTCTTGAAACTACTAGGGCTGTTTAAATAAGAATGGAATCCATTCGGTTAATGCTTTCCTAATATCAATTAGCAAAACCTAATGAACATCAAAATAAGCATGAATTATACCAACCGGGCTTTCTTTAACATAATTTCGTCAAATTTATAAAATATAAAAATGCTACATTTATATGAAATACTAACATATTTATATGCAATTTAAATCAAATGACTGCTTAATTTATTGACAAATGGGAGAATATCACATTGAATTGAAAATTCACTTTGTTTATACTAATTACCAATCGCTCGGTTGACTCAATTTAACAGGTCACACATTGTTTTCAGTGAAAATGAATAATAGTTCAGATGTTTTTCATATTGATTTACCGGATGCGCCTAATCAAGAAGAAAATAGAAGTGATACTGAGGAACCAATTACTAATGCAAGAGTTCCTGAGGTTGGCTTACCTTTTATTTTCGGTTTCATTTTCTAGGAATTCTTATCAATGGGCCCTCTTTCCGTCGAAGAGTAAGCTGATAAAGTGATTTACAATGATTTATTTGATTATTTTTCATTACAGTTTTGATTCTTTGGAGTATTTTGCAAGCTTAAATTTCATTTCCATTTTATTGGCTTCTATATCATCATGCCTTTATTATACTATGGCATTGTCAACTGATTTATTCGAGATATTAAATGCAAATTACCTTGTAGAATGAGTGAATATATTGAACGTGTCGAAATTTGTGAAGACACGGTGAATCCTGGACAACCTAAAGTTCGCCCACAGGATTTCAACCTACTTAAGGTTCTGGGAAAGGGTGGTTACGGAAAAGTATTTTGGTCATTTTACTCTAATTGTCTTTTAAGGTATTTCTTGCCCAAAAAATCACTGGTGTTGATTGTGGACAAATATTTGCAATGAAAGTTCTTAAGAAGGCCTCTATCGTAACTAACGCCAAAGATACTGCACATACGAAGACCGAGAGGAATATTCTCGAATTGATCAAACACCCTTTTCTAGTCCAACTTCATTATGCTTTTCAGACTCCAGGCAAACTCTATCTCGTTTTAGAGTTTTTAGCCGGTGGTGAACTCTTTACCCAACTTGAGAAGGAGGGTGTTTTCCTTGAAGAGCAAGCTATGTAAGCACATTAAAATGTTTATTTATTGATTTGGTAATGATAGGGTATTTTAAACTTTTCCTTTTTTCATTTTCAGCTTCTACTTATCAGAGATAATTTTGGCAATAGGTCATCTTCACAGCATGGGTATTGTATATAGAGACTTAAAACCGGAAAACATTCTTCTTGATACCGAGGGTCATGTCAAGTTGACGGATTTCGGGCTTTCAAAGGAACGGGTTGATCACGATCTTACGCATACGTTCTGTGGAACTATCGAATATATGTAAGTTCATGTCGCATAAATTTCGCCTATTTATCATCAGATCGTACCTGAGAATAATTCTTTTGTAATATTCTAGGGCTCCGGAAATCTTGCTTCGCCAAGGCCACGGCAAGTCAGTCGACTGGTGGAGTCTTGGGACTCTTATGTATGACATGTTATCAGGAGGGGTAAGGCCAAAGTTCATAGCGATTACGAGTTGTTGAGGCATTAATTGTGGTGTTGTCAGGCATACTGCTTCTCGCGTAAATACAATGACATATTTGCCCCTCATTTTTAAATGTCAACGAATTTGGCAATGTGCCAACACTACTACTGTTGCGCTTGGGAATATGTAACGGTAGCGATCATTAATTGAGCATCACTAAAATAAACCTCAGTCTGATATTAAACCAAGGGAACATAAGACCCGTTTATGAGTCTAATAAGCCTTTTATTTAATCTCAAAATGCGAGATTGCTTTAATCGTACTTATTTTTGCCTAAGGATGTGGTCTGGTGCTATTTCGAACTGAAGTTAGGTCCAAGTTTGTATCGGAGTATATAGGATTCTTCTATTACTCCCCCCTGACTTGTTTGTTGCATTAGGTCCTTGATTTCATAGAGCGAATGCTTATTTTGATCGAAATCCAAGCATCTTTGATTGAGAACTCTTAAGTTTATTTACCAGTCGCGTGACGTGGTTCCTTTAGATGACAAGTTCCAGTGTAAATAGATCTCTCGCCCCTAAGGGTTTTGCTAGTTTTCGAACCCATTATCGATAGCATTGGCAAGGACCGCCTCTGTGACTTAATGTTTCTGTGATTGTTTATGAGTGTACACTCTGGCAGCTTTCCAAATGATGGTGTTGTAGCTTTGACTTGCACAAATGTATCATTTTTGTGACACACCTATTCGCGCATCTGAAATATCTCTTATTTTTGTAAGTTTAAGATGCATTTTGTTTGTCTTTTTTTTTCTTTAGCTCTAATTGCTAATCCTTCATAGAGGAAAAGTCTTCGGACAGAAATGTCTTCTGGGGACTTCTTATTATAGAAGCTCATGTCTGTTCAGTAGAATTTTCAACAGAGTTGCTATAGGGTGTATAGTAGTTATCGATCGAGGTGTTTTGTATTGTTTGTATCGGTTTGAATCGGAAATCAATTTTGAGTATTTTTTTCTGTATTTCTCTCGAATAGTATTGGTAAGGATTTCCTCTATCTTACTTTATTGAGAAATGCACTTGTATAAATTGAATAGTGCCTATCAAAGCTGTTGTTGACCTGACTCATCAAAATTTAAACTTTTCGTTTTTTGTCTTAGCCTCCATTTGTCGGAGAGGATCGAAAGAAGACAATGGAGAAGGTGGATTTACCATGATTGTTAACTTTTAAATTCGTAACTTCTATCGAAAGTGATTAATATTTTGTTTCCTTTTTAGGTTATTCGCGGAAGATTTCAGATTGCCCCTTACCTTAGTGCAGAAGCCAAGGACTTGCTTAGAAAAGTAAGTTTCTTTAAATTCCCTTCAATATCTCCTTAATCGTCTTTCTGAATCAGAATCCTTCCCACGGACTATTTGTTTTCCTCGTTATTTTACAATATCGAAGTTCATTCATAAGTGCTCATCATGCAAACATTTCTAAGTACAACACGAAAACGTAATTTTTGGAAGTAAGTTTGAGCATTAGGGGTAGCCTTTTAGATGTCTTCATAAATGGTTGAACAGTTCAGATTCGTTTATTTGTTCACTTATTTCCTAAATTATTACACAATTATGCTCGTTTGATGCAAGATAGCAAATCCATGTGTTTTATATAAATACTTTAGTAAGTAAACAAGACGCTCTTTTGAAAGAAAAGGAAAATTAATCTTGTCCACTTTCTTTTCTTCTTTCATTACCTCTCAATTAAAAATTACTGCTTACCATCATTTGCTTCAAGTTATTAGAAACAGTGTGATTTTAATAAAGTTGATTCAAACATTAGAAGATTCACCGAGCTCCTCATTTTCCTGATAGTCTGAACCGAGCTCAATTTCTGGTCTTAATTTTATTCATTGCATTCTTGGATTGGAACCCTTTGCAATCAAACTTTCAAAATTCGCCACCATTTTTTTGCTTTTCAACTATAGTAAATTTTCGAATTGCCCAGGGGCGCACGTGTTAAATTGCGTTAAATCTTAATTTCAGACAATTGAAAGCAAACTTTCCAAACTTAGGTCTGTTGTCAAAAAGCTAATGGCAGCAGGCTTTAAGACACCGGGTGTGTCTTTATAGACAGTAATTTCAGACTCATAGGGCGGCGAAGCCAAATTTCCCTTGAGAATCCAAATCTACTTTTATAAGGCCCTGGTCTTATGATATTTGAAGGTCATTTGGTATTCGTAATTAACTGATATGGAAATCACAGTGATCGCATTCTATTGAGATAATTATTACTTTGGTTTTTATTATTATATATTCGTTGCTCTGAAGTTGTTTTTCTCCTGTTATCATGTGAAAAGTTCTGGTTAGGTTTCGGATGTGTATCCTTTCATTTTCTATTTGTGATTGAAATAGGCGAATTTCTGATACCATGGAATTTGCTGTGGTATTTCATGTTTTGTTCACGTCGAATATTTATGTTAACTTGTACCAATAACCTACATAAATGTTAAACGTTTGCCTACGGTTTCGGGAAGAAACCGATTTAAGTCACGGTGTTGATTTCTTTGTTTCCAATTAAATAGATTGCCATGCGGTGCTCACCTGGTGTGTTGTTAGCGCTTCCTTTGTTTGGTCATTTATTCCTCTCATTAAGTTAAAAATTTGAAGGATGGGTGTCGACGCTGAATTTATAAATACGCGTTCATGGTAAATTTCAAAGGATTTGATCGATGTTTTTATTGTATTACTTTAAAGCAGGTTGCTATATAGTATTTGAGGCAATCGCTTCTTTGGCTATCTTTTGTATGTACTTTTTCTTATCTCCAAAGCTTGTATTAACTTCGTTCTTGCCTTTCAGTTATTAAAAAAGAACGTTAGTGAACGTTTGGGTTCTGGACCAACAGATGCAGAAGAGATAAAAAAACATCTCTTTTTTGCGTCGATTAGTTGGGATCAGGTGTATGCACGTCAATTGGAACCCCCATTCAAGCCTAGTCTCACTTCAGAGACAGATGTCTCACGTTTCGATCCCCTCTTCACCAGCGAGAATCCCGTTGAATCTCCAGATGACGGTGTTCCTATTTCAGCTTCAAATTTGGACGTATTTGATGGTTTCACTTATGTTGATCCCCAAGTCCACATCTCCATGGTGAGAGATCCTTGGGGTTTTGATGGCTCCTCGAACCTACGGAGACGAAGACGTTCAGGAATTTCCTCTGGAAGGTGCGTTTTCTTGGACGTATATTTTCGTTTTTTTAATGTATTAAATGTGAAAATAATTGTACATTGGCTATCACAGGCAGAATAATTGATTAGGTAGTTATAGAACACGGGAGGGAATTTGATTTTCTGATGCATTTTTTAAATACATTTTTATCTCTTAATAAAGCTCAATTTTTTGATTTACTAGTTTTAACGTATGAACTTTTTGCTTTGCGTTTGGGTAATATGCCATCTGTTTGTAGCTTGTAACAATTTATTCTTTCAACAAACTAATAATTTCGTCATTTTCAAAGTTTTGCTTAAACCATTTTATATGATTTATTATGGACATTAATCTCTTGGCTGGTTTTACATTTTTTGTCAAAATCTAACCTCATCTTAACTTGTGAATATTTGATATTACTACGTGCCTGAACAAAAAATTTAATTCTTTGCGTAGTTGTTTCTCATTCGCATTTAACGTCATTATTTTGCTATTTTGCCAATTAACGACCCCGGGTAAGGGTTAAATTCCTCTTGTAGGCATTTTATGAACGAATCAGCCAATTAGTCTGTTTTTGAATTTGGCTTATAAAAGCTTGGAGATGGAAATTGATTTCCTTGCCAGTTAATTTTTTTTCCACATATTGCATCTCTACGCAGCAAATATAATTTTGATTGGAATAACGGTATCAGATTTGGGAAAGTATTTAATTTGTGGAATTTTTTTATTTATTTGTAAGCTTTTTAATAAACCGGTTATAGACAAGTGGTAGTTGCGATTATCTATGCAAGTTATAGAGATTACCTTTATTCTTACGATTTCTTTTGGCATGTTGATTGTTCCACTTCGTTAATTTTTTCCACACATTCGCTCCATTCGTATGTGAAGGGAATTTTTGTTAATTATTGTGTGTTCCAGTTCTTTATAATCTTGAATAATTAAATTGCACGAACCGTATCAAAAATGTTACAATTTAATGGTCTTGACAAAAGTATTATCGTTTTTCTGAAGTTATCTTAGTCATACTATGTTTCTTAATCTATATTGTTACCCGGTAGCCTGAAGGATGTTTTGGTAGTTAGAGAATTAAGCTTGTACCTTTAAATCATTTTGTAATGACATCAATTTCTTTGTAGTTCTCCCGCCTATACTGGAAATCAGATGGTTCCAACAATTCATGGTATCCCTGCACCAAATTTCAGTGGAAGTTTAAATCCAGTTGGTGTAGTGGATCCTGGCCAACCCTTCGTTTTCGCAGAGGACTTTGTTGACATGGAATTAGACACATCTGGAAGTAACATGGATCCAGCACAACCAAATCCATTCTCCTCCCAACCCATACCTACCAACCCTCATCGAACGTCCTTTTTTGGGGGTCCCAGTCGGCCTATTCCCGAACACCCACGGCCTCTTAGTCCCCGAAGGTCAAATCTATCACCTAATTATCGCCAGAATTGATTATTTGTTGGACGTCTCTGTCCACCCGCGTGTAAAGATATTCCCCATCCATCCACTATCTACTACTGCTTACTACATAACTGTTCCCCAATCCGTACATTGATAGTGTGCCAATTATCCTTCTATATTAATTCTCCTTTTTTGGATTTGCAGAAATACCTCCTCTCTATTACCTCTCAACTTTTGATTCCTATATTTATGAAATTTTTTATGAAGCGACAATGATGAGAGGTGATGATTGTGTCTACTACTGATTAATAGAAATGCTCCCAATCGCAATGGCTGAATTCTACATGGATATGTAGAGATCCGCATTTTATTCAGGTTGCTGCTGCTTTACACTCTTCACAAAAATGAAATCTTGAACTCTAGTCCTTGCTTAAGTGGTATGTGTGGTATCGGTTTGTGAGATGTCTTACCTTGTCTTCTATTTCTTCTTTTTGCTCCACGACTTTGCGTTCTACAACCAACCAATACTCCCTTCTGTTTTTTATATCTCTCGACTACTACTATTGATATAGGCTCGCAAGCCCTTTTTTATGCTTTAAAAATTCTTGCGAGCAATAATATATCTCCTCTCTTCATTTAAATCTCCTCAAAGGGAGTAAGTGAGAAATCTGTAACACAATAAAAATCAATCTGCTTGACAAAGTTGTTTTTTTCTTTCTATGCCGTTAGAATGTACGTTCTAGTACCCAATTCATAAAACTGTTTTTCTTTAGTTCTGAATGTCAAAACGAAGTCATTCTGAGGCTTCGTCCGCACAATCTTCAAGCACAGCTGCGGCAGCGAGAGGGGATGTTGGTGTAATTCCTCCAAAACGACCATTTTTATCCGGTTCAGAGTTGGTTCTCTTTCGAAGTGTCCGATCTCTTGAGGAGTTGGATAAACGTACTCTCCAGTTGCAGAATAAGAAACTTTATGAAGCGCTCTCGGAGAAACGATCTGCTATTGGTGATCTGAGGCAGCGAATTGAACAATTGGAGAATAGACAGGCCAAGGATGATGCCCTCCTATGCGTCGTGAATCGATATTGGAACCAGGTTTGACTTCAAAAGCACATATATATATATATATATATATATATATATACATTAGTAAATACATTGTAGAAAACAAGTAGAACTGCACATTACTGAGTGAAAATTTACCTTTCGA